CCCCCAGCGTCCGATTTCAAAAGGCATCTGAGGACAAAATGGCCTTTCCTTCTAAGAACCGACCAGGCTTTCAGGAAAATTCAGCCTCTGGTCCTTTTCAGTTGTTGCAAGATGTGACTAAAATATATATATTTTAAAGCACCTCTACGGTTTTAAATCTGGCCCGCATTGGCTTTCAACCACTCCCCAAAAGAAAATGTCTTTATTTGATTTCAGATATTTGTTACCCCGCCTTCTTCCTTAAAAGGACCCAAGGCGGCTTAAAGGGCAGAGTTGCGTTTGGTAAGGCTCCCCAAGGACCTGATTCGTGATGGAAAGTTGAAAACCCACTTAGGTTGTCTTTTTAGGGTGCAGCGAGGCTGCACGTGTCTACTTGGGAGTAAAGCCCACTGCACTCTATGGGTTTTCCTTCTGAGTAGAGACAGATCCCGCTTGTGAAAGAGGCAAAAGGATGCTAAACAGCTGTCATTTTTATATTATTATATTTTGAAAATTCCAAAGAACAGATCATTTCTCCAAAAATCTGTTTTTGACTGTCTCTTATTCAGGATCTTCCTTCACCTCCTTGAGCAAGTTAACTCGGCAGTTTTCTTTCCCATTTTTCTTCTTCTTTTTATTCCGATCTTTCTTGTGTTGTTCTCCAACCCCCCCCCCCCTTTCCAGGAGTTTTATTAGGACGTTCAAATATCAAAAAGCAACCTTCCTGGGTCTCCCTCCACAGGAGATCCAGCAAGCTTTAGGCTTACTCTCCCGGCACTGGGCCAAACATGTCGGCATGTTTACGGAGCAGTCACTCTTGAGTTCAGCGCGATTTTTACTCCTGAGTAGGTCGCTTTTCAACCCGAGAACCCGCGGCACGTTCATTAGGGAAAGCTCAAACTGTGTATTTTCAACAACCCTCGCCTCGGAAAAGCTCCTTGCCGGAAAGAGCTTGGAAGATAGAAATATTCAAAATATTTATTTACCCAACAACATTTCCAAGATTCCGCAATATTCATTTTGCAGGAGTTGCTCAAATGTAGAGGCCGATCCTATATTCGGGGGAAATAGTTATGCACCAATTTCCCTGCAATTTTTTTCCCTTCCTTCTAAAGAGGCGTCTCTAGTCAAATTTTGGAGACGAGAAGTCCATCCCATTATGTTCCATTCGGGTTTCCTCGCGAGGAACGGTGCGCCGGGCTGCAGCCCGGGGATCGCCCCCTGAGGTTGAGTTAACCGTCTTCTTTTTTTACTTAAGGGAGATAGTTAAGCTTTCCCCCCCTCTTCGTTTCCCCCAGGTTGCGTGGAAAACATAAATAAATCTGCCACGGAGGTGGGGGCGGGGATGTGTGCGTGAGCCTTAAGAAGAAGGATGAAGCCTGGGGGGGGGGGAGGTTGGGAGTTGGTTTCCTTCTGGCACAAACAAAGACAATGGCTTTTTCCAGCCCTGGAGAGAAAAAGAGGCCGGATCGCAAACAGAAGCTTGACAGAAAGGGGGGAACAAAACAAAACAAAACAAAGCCCTCCACGTTTCTGGGTCTCCCTTTCTCGCCTCGCTGCTGCGCGCCGTTGGGAGGCTTGGCCGGCCTCCAGATCAATGACCCGGCGCGGGTGGGCGGGGCTTCCTTTGGGGGGGGGGCAAAACCAAGGACGGCCCCGCCCCTTGCAAAAAATTCCCCTTGCAAATATTCTCCTGCCTGGGCCACCGCGAGGACCAGCGACAGAGTCTCTCTTTAGACAAACTGGTGCAAAATGGCTAGCATTTTTTTAAAAAGGTCTGTCTCCGGGTACTGGCCCTTTTAAAGGCCAAATCGAACCTCCAGGTTGACTGGCAGTCTATCCAAAAGGGGGTGGGGGAAATTAAAAGGGGTAGAGGGGGAATGGCAGTTCCAGGGCAGAGCTGTTTAGCTGGCCATCGTGAGAAAGAGGGTGCAGAAGGAGGCGAGGCAGGCCTTTGGTCTGAGAGAAGCCACTGACTTCTGGTGCCTGATCCAGTGGTGGAAACCGCCGCCTGTAACCTGGACTGCAACTCCCACAAATCCCTCACCCTAAGCTATACTGGCTAAGCCTGATGGGAATTGTAGGCCACAAGCCCGTCTGGAGGACCACAACTTCTCACCCCTTTCCAATGGTTCCCAACCTTGGGTTGCCCAGAGGTTCTTGGGCTACAACTCCCAGAAATCTTGGCCAGCACAGTGAGTGAGGAAGGCTTCTGGGAATTGCAGTCCAAGAACCTCTGGGGGACCCAAGCCTGAGACCAAGAGGAATTGTCCTGGTTATAGTAAGGGCTGTTTATTTGGAAGACAGAACCTCCTCCCCTCCCCTTGCTGAGCGGGCTTTATCCTCAAAGAACTCTGTAGGAGAAGACTGCAGTCCTAGGCATGATGCTGTTCTTTTAAAGGCAGGAAGGAAGAGAGCATCAAGGCCATCTGGAAGCGGAGAAGAAAAGAGCAAAGCTCCTTGCCTATATAACCTAGGTGCTGTAGGGGCAGAGATAGGCATGGCCACCCCATCTCGCTACACTCCAAGCATTGTGTTGGGGGTGTGGGTGGTGGTTCTCCTCTTCTCCTGCTCAGGAGCCCCTCATCAGGAAGCCTGCTTTCTCTTGTTTAGCTGGGGAAGCAGGATTCAAGATGTCTTTAATCTACTTCCCCAGGGAGGCAGGAAAAAGGTGACCATCCCAATAATCTAGGACCTTGTGTCATTTTTCCCTTCTAAGTGTTGTGCTGGTGACGGTGGGAACTGTAACATGGAAGAGGCTTCTGGAGGTGGGTTAAGAGCAGCCAGCTCCATTGGCACACTCCGGATGGGACCCTCCCTATCTATTCAGGTGGAGGACTCAATGCCTTTATATGGACCCCCTTTCTACTGTTTAGGATGCATCCATAAGATGTAGTAAATTCCTGCTACAGCCTTAAAAGACAGTTCTCAACCGTTATGACAGGTCATCTCAGCGGTGTGTCCTGCTTTGGCAGGGAATACCTCTTTTCTTAAACACTATGTATCCACATAGGAGTATAAGTAAACATTTTCCACAGCATATATAGATACAGCTATAGGCTGAAATCAGTTGCAAATCACAGCTAGAGCAGGTCCATTAAATCAATGGAATTTACATAGGTGTTGACTCAAATTCCCACTGATTCACTAGGCTTATTCTAGTTGTAACTTGCTACTGGATTTCAGCCACAGTACAGCATAAGTCTGTCTGTCTGTCTCTCTCTCTCTCTCTCTGCATCTCTTCTCCATGCCACCCACAACCCACTTCAAAAACAGAATTTGTTTGGTGTGCAATTATATAGGGTACATGTAGAGATGGAGATCCTGCGTTCCAAAGGGCTGAAGTCCAGTAGAAATTTCACTTGTTTTCAGAGTCCTGGGCCAATCTACACATGCCTACTCAGAAGTAAATCCCACTGGGCTCTGTGAAACTGAACTCCTAAATAAATGGGTGTAGAGCTGCAATCACTTCAGGGACCTACATCAAATGCCAAATAAAAATAAAATAAAAACAAAAATAAAAAAAAGATTAGGCCAGGAAAGAGGTAGGGGGCTAGGGGGCTAAGTCAAAAATATATCCATGTGTCAGACCCCATCTCTGAATTCCGTGGAGCTAGCTAAGGTTGCACCCCTAACATCACTAAACTCAGTGGGACTTTTTTCTAAGCCGCTGTTTGGTGTGCAATTATATAGGGTACATGTAGAGATGGAGATCCTGCGTTCCAAAGGGCTGAAGTCCAGTAGAAATTTCACTTGTTTTCAGAGTCCTGGGCCAATCTACACATGCCTACTCAGAAGTAAATCCCACTGGGCTCTGTGAAACTGAACTCCTAAATAAATGGGTGTAGAGCTGCAATCACTTCAGGGACCTACATCAAATGCCAAATAAAAATAAAATAAAAACAAAAATAAAAAAAAGATTAGGCCAGGAAAGAGGTAGGGGGCTAAGTCAAAAATACATCCATATGTCAGACCCCATCCCTGAATTCCATGGAGCTAGCTAAGGCTGCACCCCTAACATCATTAAACTCAGTGGGACTTTTTTCTAAGCCGCCATGCGTAAGATCCCATTGCGAGGGAGTTCAGGATTAGAACCACTGAACCCCTTCCTGTTTATATGCAAGAGACCTAAACCACTGGGTTGGTACCTAATACAATATTAGAAGTAAAGAATAGTCAGAACAACATATTTCATTATTGTTACTTATTTTCGCTACTTCTTTCAAGAGATCCTATGGATTTGATTTCCACCTGAATGTAAACAGGGCGCAATCCTTTACCTACGTATGTACCTGAGAGTAACAGTCACTAGACGTGGATAGAGAAATGTATAGGATCACCACTGTTGGGAGGCTGGCTTCACCAGGATATGCCTACAGATATTTTCAGATGTATATTAGTTTAGGATGAGTCCCATTGAACACACTGAGATTTCCTTGTGAGACAGGAGCTGGGCACAGATGTTATATGGCTTCGTTCCCTTTGGCTATCCAGTTCTAGCTAGTTGGACAGCCCAGTGATTTGGAGTACCTGGATCTGTAGTTCGATTCCCCACTTGTGCCTCTTGGGAGAAGAGCCAGCCTGGGTAGCCTTGGGCCAGCTGCATAGCCTCAGAAGAAGGGAAGGATAAACCATTTCGGAGTATTCTCAACCTGGAAAACTCCAAAAAGGGTCGTGGACTTGACCACGCACAATTATTATTATCCACATATAGGTTAACATTGCTTCTTATAGGAACTTTCCTGGGAGCAAGCCCCGTGGGGTTCCATGGCACTGATGGACGAGTAGATTTGTATGGGAGTAAACGTGTAGAGGACTGCAGGGTTAATGGAGGTCTTTGGTTTCTCCCACTCTCCCTGCCTGACACCTCCAGCCTAGATTTGCTCCTAGATTATTTCTTGCGAGCGTGGGAAGAAAGAGGCAAAATCCTGCTTTTACTTTACTTCCCCTGTTTTTAAAAAAGGGACCCCCTTTCCTTTCTCTCCTTCATTTTATTCTTTCACGGAAGATTCGGAGGCGTGCGGAAAGCGGAAATTTGGAAAGTTACTTTTTTTTTTTTGGAAACTCCCTTAGTGTCCCAGCCAGCCCGTGGGAACCGGCGCGGTACGATCCATTTTGCCTGACCTTTGCTCGAATTTGGAGATTTTTAATTCAGATTCCGTTGGCGAGGCTTTCCCTCCAGGTAAACGCGCGGATCCGATCGGGCAGCCGGGAGAGGGGGAGAGAAATCGGACCCACCTGGATCCTGCCGGATCAATCGGCTGAAGAGCAGGACCTTGTGAATGGCTTCATTCTAGTAAATCGGCCTGTGTAATAAAACCAGCTTCGTAGCCGCCTGGACGTGTCCGTGGACCACGTTTTCGCAAGAATTCCGGTGGGACTGCGGCCCCTTCTGAAATCCCCCCCGTGCCTCACTTCTTCTGCAGGTTTCTGTTCTCGGACCCCCACTTTTTGCAATTCCTTCCAGGGCTTAAATACGTGGCTGTCGTTTGGGCACCAGGATGCGCCCTCCGCACCCGTTCACATGGGCCTGGCGTGCTCCGAATTCCACTCTTGAGAAGGTTTGGCCCTTAAAAAAGCTGCGCGTCTTCACGCGCAACTCTGACTCTGGTCCTTTGACTTCGCTCTTGATGCTCCGCGGCTGAATCAGCGGAACCAGCGCTTAAAAAAAAGAGAGCAGGACTGCTTTGGGAGTGACACGGGGCGAGGGTCTCCCCTTTCTGATTCACAAGTGCAGCTGGTCACGCGATGGGCAGGTAGGTGTGACCCAGCACTGTTATGATGCCGAGGCGCCCCACCGACGGGCACCTTTTGTGCCTCTGAGATGCGGGCCAGCCTTCTTTCCCTGGACGGAGTCGGAAGACACAACTCGTGTGTGTCCGCCTGTGTCGAAAGAAGGTTAAGCCGCATCTCCGGGTCTTCGAGGCGAGGGCCGCCGCCGGGCCTTGACTGGCGCTCAGCCTGGGGTCCGTTCTGCAAACAGTTGCAAGGGCTAAATCTTGATGAGGGGTTGGGGGATCGCTCCGTTGGGGACCGCAATTCCCAGAACCCTTCAAAGCCTGGATCCTAGAAGATTCCGTCCAAAAATAGAGTAAGGTTTTCAGGGGAGGATTACGCCTTGCCCTGTAACGTAACATAAACTAGCCGTCTTAGTTGGCCGGGGTGGCTGGCTTCACAGTCACCCGCCTCCAATAAGGTTTTCTAGGGATGAAGTAGTTTACTGCTTGCATCATCATCATCATCATCTGTCGTCAAGTCAATTTTAACTTCATGCGACAGGGGTTTCCAGGTAGAGAATCCTCAGAAGTGCTTTACCCTTGCCTTCCTCTAGGGGCAACCTTGAGACTGTGCAGCTGGCCCAAGGCTACCCAGGCTGGCTGTTCTCCCTGGAGGCACAATTGGGGAATCGAACGCCGAACCTCTGGGAGACACCCAACTCACGGAGCTAACCCGCCAGCTTCTTCCTGCCCCCCACCCCCCAAATTTCCACGACCCAGGAGGAAATGTGACCTGGGGCACAGAACGTCCAACCTCTGGGAGACATCCAATTCACGGAGCTATCCGGCCAGCTTCTTCCTGCCCCTCCCCCGAATTTCCACGACCCAGGAGGAAATGTGACCCAAGGTCTTGTAAACTCGTGGGGCGCTCTAACCACTCCGCCACACCGCCTCTCCCCTGGCCCCGGCGGAGGCTCTTTGGCGGCCTCTCCCGCCCAACTCACCTTCATCCTCCTCTTCCTCGCCTCTCCGCCGGCCCCCCCCCAACCCAACCCCGCGGCTTCTCCAAAGGTTCCGAGAACCGCTCGCAACGTGCAAGCCCACCTCGCGAGTTAGGTGACTCCTGTCCCCGTTTAATTTATGTTTTATAGTTGGTTTAGCCTTCTGATTTGATTGCCTTCGTAACGCGGGTTCGCCTCCAGCTGCTGATGATACAGCTTTAATTCTGTTTTAAAGGTCATGTAAACATGTGCCTACACCAGAAGGAATGCAAATCCAATTCCTCCCGCGCCCCCCCCTCCGCCCCCTGTTTTATAACGGCGCCTCCCTTTTGCTTGACGGCTTTTTCTCTGGGAAAATTAACGGGAGGAAGGTACATCTCTGCGCCGCTCCCCGCGAGGAAGAAGGCACGTCTGCAGCGGAGACACAGCACCCTCTCGCTTTATTTCAGGGGGGGGGGAAGCAAACCATCCAGTCCGAGATGCTTAATATCAATATATTCCCACCTGCCGGGGAGAGAAACATAACCTTGCTGGGCTGATCTGTGGCTGCTGGGTGTAGGGTTGCCACATTCTCCTATCAGCCTAGCTTGGAGCTCTCTAAAAGCAGCTTGCAAAGGGAGAGCTTAAGAGATTGGAAGGGGTGTGATCCTGAGCCCAGGGCTGGGGGGGGGGGAAGCCCCTGCGCATGTTGCAGAGTCTGGAATTCTTGGTAACTATTCCTTTTGTTATACAGTAGACGTACAAAGACTCCTAAAAGAGAACAGCTACAAGTTCGCCAGAGAGTCCAGCCCATTTCTCATTTACAGGCACTTTCAGTCTCACTGTGAGACATACGAGTAGAAACGATAACGATGTTTTATTACAGTTGGGAACAGATCAGCAGCAAACAGACAAGCAAAACAAATTAGAGAGAGAGGGAAAAAGAATGTTCAACAGAGAGGTGGGACTCTGTTTGCATTCTTAAACAGGAAGGAATGATTGGCTATTGCTGCACAGATTGACAGTCGTTCCCAGCCCAGAAAGGTCCCACCCAGTCCAACAAACTGCAGGCAGCATGCGAGGTTGTTAAAACTCAGACAGCTCAAAGTTCCACTTAGCTATCACAGTCACCCTGTGATCTGTACTCATTCTCTTCCAACATAGCCTACCTCACCGGGTTGTTGTGAGGATGCAGTGGGAAGGGTAGACCAGTTGAGATCTTTAAAGGAAAAGGCGTAGATTTCTTCAACTTGGTGATGCAAAGGATACTACTAGAGAAACATGGCTGTTTAAGGGCATAGGAGTGAGGCCAGAGAAGTAAGTTGGCAACAAACCTTAACTCCACTCACTTTCCACAGTAGCATTAGTAGCTGTGCGTGTGGGCAGGTGAGACTTTTTCTCCCTCTCTCATTGCACTAGAAGCAAGGATCATCCCAAAAAAATGTATGAAGGGAGGTCCTGGACAGGCAAAATACATTTTTTTGCTCATGTATAATAATAATTATGTGCCATCAAGTCAATTCTGACTTATGGTAACCCTTTTCAAGGTTTTCTAGGCAGAGAACACTCAGAAGTGCTTTACCCTTCCCTTCCTCTAGGGGCAGCCTTGGGACTGTGCAGCTGGCCCAAGGCCACCCAGGCTGGCTTTTCTCCCAGGAGGCACAGAGGGGGAATCGAACTCCCAACCTCTGGCTCCAGAGATCTAAACCACTGAGTGGAGGATCTAGCAGTGGAAAAGGAAGATTTCTAGCAGGGCTGTAAGTAGAGGACAACAGCTGGGGCTTTGCCCCAGGGCACCCAGTTTAAGAGTACACGGAAGTATATAGCTAGTCTATTGATGATGGGAGGAGGGACTGATTGATGGATGGATTGAAGATACTGCCCCACTAGTGCAATGCATAATGTTTGCCGCATAATAGGGTTAGTGTGGAAAGCTCCCCTGATGAAGCTGCCTTCTAAACATTAGCAGAGAAGGGGGTCCACCAGGGTCGGTGCCAGTGCGAATTCACCTTTTTTGGGAGGAGGGATATGAACTTCTTCTTCTTTTGAGGGACACCACAATCCTACCTCTTCACAGCAAACCCGTATCCATGTTTCAGGACCAAGTGGATGAGGAGGGGATGATGTCGCTTGTCTTGGGTGCCAAAATTGCTAGTTTCGCTCAAATTCTCTCTCTCTCTCTCTCTCTCTCTCCTGCCTGGACCTCCTGTTCATCCATTTTAACTGCCTAGCGCTCAGGAAAGAATTTTAAGCGTCCTTTTTAAAAAAAAGATGCTTCTAATGACAAATTTCAGCAGAGTCATCTTTGTTAGATGCCTTGCCCCCATCGTGTTGCAAAGAGCATCATGAATCATAAAGGGAAAATTATGAGATGTCATACCTAACTAACCTCAAGAGAAAAGAAAATTACTTCTTATACGAATGTAGATTTGACAAAAGCTCTATTCATTTCAGGGTTAGATACTTCTTACCATTTGGATGTATCATCCTTTATGCTTTTACCTGGAGATAAGACTGTTGGCATCTACCTCTAGGTCAACGTGCATAAGGTCCCCACTGACAATCATCCCTGCATGTGTTTGCTTGTGACTGTTGTTAGGTTCCATCCAGTTGTCTCCAGCTCATGGTTGACCCTATGAAGGACTGGCCTTCAAAACATCCTCTCCTCAACAGCCCTGCTCAGCTTTTATAAACTTAACCCCATGGCTTCCTTTAAGGAGTCAATATATTTCGTATTTGGCCTCCCTCTTTTCCTGCTGCCTTTGACTTTGCCTAGCATTATGGTCTTTTCCAGAGAATCCTGTCTTCTCATGATGGGCCCAAAGTAGGACAGCCTCAGCTTCAACATTTTTTGCTTCCGGAGAGAGTTCAGGCTTGATTTGATCTAGGATCCACTTGTTCGACTCGCTGGCAGTCCAGGGTATCTGCAAAACTCTCCTTCAGCACCGCGTTTCAAATGAATCATTTCCCCCCCTTGTTTACTTGTTGTTAAGTGTATTAAGTGTGCACTGCTGGATAGCTCAGTGGCTTAGTTCTCTGACTGTGGAGCCAGAGGTCGAGAGTCCAGTTTCCCACTGTGCCTTGTTGAGAGGGGCTGGACTTGATGATCCATAGGGTCCCTTCCAGCTTCTGCAGTTCAAGGTTATTAAGTCTGCCAGCATTTCCATGGGGCTTACTACCAGAAGTCCATGAAAGAACCGCATATTTAGCTTGCGATGGCACCTGCGCAGTCCGCTTTTGTACCCATTCGCTCAGAACCAAGGTTGCAGCCCTGCACGCAAGGTCTTTAGAAGGAGCTCCATTGGCCACCATGGGTCTTACTTTAGAGTAATCATGCATAGAACGGAGTAGCAAGCCTCTTTCATTGGGTGTGACACCACTTGCTTCCGTAAGCTTGCGATGGCACCTGTGCAGTCCGCTTTTGTACCCATTTGCTCAGAATCAAGGTTGCAGCCCTACACGCAAGGTCTTTAGATGGAGCTTCATTGGCCACCATGGGTCTTACTTTAAACATGCATAGAACGGAGTAGCAAGCCCCTTTCATTGGGTGTGACACCACTTGCTTCCAAGTCATTGGGAGTGTGTATGCTCGTACAAAGCTAGGAAAATCTGGACTAAAGAATCCCAGACTCTTGCCACCATTTGGCTGGGGTGTTCTGGGACTTGTTGTCCAAAAGGACCATTCTTGAGCTCTGAGATTGCAGCCGGTAAGAACTCACCATGTATATTCAATTCTACTAAATTTCCCACTCCTTCCACAACTTTCCAAAGTCCTCTGGTCCTACTTGCAGTCGGCTCCTACTGTCATGTAAACAAAACCATTTAAATCCAGTTCTGCTGCCCGGTACTCTGGTATGTTCTCCTTTTTCATACCTTTTCCAGCTCGCTGGAGGTCATTGCTTGTAGCCAATGGGGTGTGTTGGCATTTGGCTAGCCTACCGTTAAGCCGGTGGCTGCTTGTCCATCATTAACCCTGTTCGAGGGGGTTATAAACTTAGCAGTGCAGAATTTGCTCCTGGCAAAAGAAGGGATTTTTGCTAGAGTTCAGCTCCAGCCCCGGAGGGGAACTGTTGTGAGAATAATCAACCCAATTTGATTTTCTCCAGGTTTTCATTCCTCAAAGGGAGAAGCAGAAAGAAGGGAGCGGATTGGGAACTCCTTGTATGCTTGACTTAATTTACAGAAGGAATGAAGGTGGGCGAGGAGGGGGAATATGTTGTTTCCCCAATGGACTCAAGAACAGATATTTTGAATCTCTGAATTTAGGAGGTACCCCGGTTAGGATCCTTCCTCTCTCTCTCTCTCTCTCTCTCTTTTGTTTTCTCCTCATGAATAAACCCGCAAAGATGTTTTGGTTGGAATAGGGCTCCTCTTCATGCTGGAATGAAAAATAATTATGCATTGTTTTGTTTTTTTTTTAATTGCAACTGCCTCCTGCAGTATCCTTGTTCTACTTATTTATGACAAAGTTTTCTACATTGCCTTTAAGGGTAAGAGTGCCTTCTGGAAAGGCAGACCTGGACAAAACCTCAGCGTAATAAAAACACTTTAACAAGGCCACTAGAAGAAACAGCTTCATGGAATAATTTCTCAACAAATCCAGATGATGAACCAACAAAAACCTGGTAAAACGCTCTTCTAGGAGACCCATACACAGCAAAGAGGTCT